ACTTTATTTTGTCGCATATGCAAGCTTCAAGCACCTCGACGCTTCACGATTAATTAATTCGTAATAATCTCGTTTTACCGAGCGAGACTGTTTCTTTAGACGCGTATATACATCGCTTCTTCTCTGTATTTTGATTAGCGCGCACGTAGTTATAAATATATATCGTACATTTTTTTAACGGCTTTCAACACGCGACACGCGTTTCGTAGATAAAAGTGACATCGATGGCTTGTGCTCGTATCTTTTTTCTCTGTATCTTTCACCGCCTATCATGTACGAACGAAATAAAAATTGTTTCTTTGCTATATCTCTTTATATCTATTTCTATGTCTTTCTCTCTCATGCAATTTCTATCTCTGTCTCTGTTTATTTTAATTTCATAATTGCGATTCTGTTTTAACGCTGCGACATCGTCGTTAATTCATACACGTAGTAGGTATTTACGTACATGTACAGCACGCTCGTTGTTTCTCAACGTCTCCTTCGTAAATGGATTCGCAAATCTACCATCGATAAATCAGAAGAATAAAAAAGGATAAATTTGCCATTTACGAAAGAAGCGCCGATTAATAGCGTGAACACACTGTATATGTATAAATTTTCACACAATACGAACGGGATACATAATCACACGAACATAACCCGAAATAACGAAGCTTAAGCGCATGCGAATATAATCTTTTTTATTATTTACAAACGTCTATTTCGCGGAAAAGCACGATTGCATTAAGATCGAACAAAATTTGGTTCGAAATCGTTCATTCTCCGCTTTCTCGTAACAAGAGTTGCTCGTCACGGAACGAGAAACCATGTTAGACACGTAGTTAAATATTTATTGCTGTGAATTGTACTGTATTTTGTTTGTTTCTTGAAGCGTAAAACGTGCTCACATACATACGTATACACAAGTTACTGCATATTAGGTTGTTACACGATAAATGTCATCGCTACACTTTTTTCTCGTACAGCGCGATTCTTCTACGTTCTACAAACTCGCTGGTTTACGCAGATGACCGTCGTTCTAAACGAAATAACGCAGACGGAAACAACCGCTGCAAATTATCTTTATATTTACGAATGGTTGAGACAGCATCTCGACGTTTATTTACAGAACAACCTAATATCTATAAACGCATATACATGGGTACATACTAGCAAAAGGAAACAAAGAGAACAATTCACTGCGTGTACACACATATTCGATCCCAGATAGCAAAAGCAATCAGTTGCACGTTGAATCGCGCGATCGTTCATAATCTTCTCTTTAAACTTTCTGTTTCATGCTTGCCCTCGCCTGGATTTCCACCGCACGTCTTTCGATCGAAAATTACCACGCATACAATTGTTTGATCTCCGTCCCGTCAACGCTTACATTCCGGTTCCGTCGACGATTACTATTCCGGCTCTCTCTCTCTCTCTCTCTCTCTCTCTCTCTCTCTCTCTCTCTCTCTCTCTCTCTCTCTCTCTCTCTCTCTCTCTCTCTCTCTCTCTCTCTCTCTCTCTCTCTCTCTCTCTCTCTCTCTCTCTCTCTCTCTCTCTCTCTCTCTCTCTCTCTCTCTCTCTCTCTCTCTCTCTCTCTCTCTCTCTCTCTCTCTCTCTCTCTCTCTCTCTCTCTCTCTCTCTCTCTCTCTCTCTCTCTCTCTCTCTCTCTCTCTCTCTCTCTCTCTCTCTCTCTCTCTCTCTCTCTCTCTCTCTCTCTCTCTCTCTCTCTCTCTCTCTCTCTCTCTCTCTCTCTCTCTCTCTCTCTCTCTCTCTCTCTCTCTCTCTCTCTCTCTCTCTCTCTCTCTCTCTCTCTCTCTCTCTCTCTCTCTCTCTCTCTCTCTCTCTCTCTCTCTCTCTCTCTCTCTCTCTCTCTCTCTCTCTCTCTCTCTCTCTCTCTCTCTCTCTCTCTCTCTCTCTCTCTCTCTCTCTCTCTCTCTCTCTCTCTCTCTCTCTCTCTCTCTCTCTCTCTCTCTCTCTCTCTCTCTCTCTCTCTCTCTCTCTCTCTCTCTCTCTCTCTCTCTCTCTCTCTCTCTCTCTCTCTCTCTCTCTCTCTCTCTCTCTCTCTCTCTCTCTCTCTCTCTCTCTCTCTCTCTCTCTCTCTCTCTCTCACACTCACTCACTCACTCACTCACACACACACACACACACACACACACCACACACACTCACTCACTCACTCACTCATTCTCTCACTCTCTCTCGTCCAACGTCCACCACGACCGCACCACACCGGCCCTCTAACGCACGTGCCCGAATCACCCTCTCCCGATCCTGAAATTGATCCTGAAACGCCGTACGTGCCTGAGTTATCCACCCGTTCCACGGAATCTGCGACGACTGCTGCGAAATCCAATCCTGAATACTCCTTCTCCGATTAATTACATTCATGTGGCGATTGTGACCATTTCCCGATCCATGCGCTGCCAACGAACCTCTACACGTTCGACCGATCCTCACCTTCTCTCCTTCTTCCCTCCTTTTCTATTTTAATTTTTCTTCCTTTCGTTTCTATTCGGCGGGGATTTTCATTTTTCCCTTTCTTTCCTTTTCCTCCATTTTCTTTCCTCTTCTTCCCTACTTGCCGTTTTGTCCACTTTCTATTTCCTACTCGAATATACCCCTACTATCCTCGCCACCGTCTTCTCTCTTCTATCCCATTTTCTCCGTGAAATTCGCACTCGTTATACACACACGGTTATTCGATCTTTTTCTGCCGTCACACGTGCTCGCTTCTACATCACGACGATAAAATAAATTAAATATACGCGATATTACTCGGTCGGCGAACGAATCTCGGTGATGGGCCGTTTCACGGAATCATTCCTCGAACCGATACCGCTCCACTTCCGGTCATCCTTTTTTCTGCACGTGTTATCACGCGGAATCCATCTGTTTCTCGATCGTCATCGATGCGTTCACGCGTGGTCGATACACGATACTCATACACGTACACACGTACAACTAAATATTTGAACGCTGGCTTGGTATGTGTGCACCGCTGCCGCATTATCGCCGCCATGTCCGCCCATCACCCGTGAAACAACGACGACAATCGTAATTCACGTTATAATTTACCATATTTTTTTGGCATATGTATGTCCGCGTATATACATTTTCTACACCCTGGTACATGCATCTATTCTTTCTCATTAACGAAACGTCAAAAATATCAATAAAATACAACAAAAATACAACAACAAAAAATGGAAAATGGTGATATATATATACATGAATACATTTGTACATGAAAAAACGCATCATTTCATGGCTTCGCGAACATCTTCGACTCGCGCGACAATTTTCGATACGCGTATAACGACGATGGTAAATGTACATATATACACGGATAACGCGCGTGTCGCACACAATTTTTATCATACATACGCGACATACACACAATCATTCTGTCGCAACCCCTTGGCCATTCCCCGCCGCCAACGTTGACCATTTTTATCCATAAACCGATCGTGAAACAACGGAATAACGCAACCGCTGCGACGATGTCCACTACTAAAACAAATATCACAAAACTTCGCGAAAAATAAACAATAATCGCGAAAAACTACATCTTCGTGTTCCCTCTTTTCTGGCGGACATCTTCCAACGAACGATGCGACGACTAATACGACAATAATTTAAAAATAATAAAATATCCACCTTTGAGTCGATAAAACCAACAACAACAATTACTGCTACTACCATCACTACTATTACCACTACTACTACTACTTCTACCACTACCACCACCGCCACTACTACTACTACCACTACTACTACTACCACTACTACTACCACCACTACTACTACCACCACTACTACTACCACCACTACTACTACCACCACTACTACTACCACCACTACTACTACCACCACTACTACTACCACCACTACTACTACCACCACTACTACTACCACCACTACTACTACCACCACTACTACTACCACCACTACTACTACCACCACTACTACTACCACCACTACTACTACCACCACTACTACTACCACCACTACTACTACCACCACTACTACTACCACCACTACTACTACCACCACTACTACTACCACCACTACTACTACCACCACTACTACTACCACCACTACTACTACCACCACTACTACTACCACCACTACTACTACCACCACTACTACTACCACCACTACTACTACCACCACTACTACTACCACCACTACTACTACCACCACTACTACTACCACCACTACTACTACCACCACTACTACTACCACCACTACTACTACCACCACTACTACTACTACCACTACTACTACTACCACTACTACTACTACCACTACTACTACTACCACTACTACTACTACCACTACTACTACTACCACTACTACTACTACCACTACTACTACTACCACTACTACTACTACCACTACTACTACTACCACTACTACTACTACCACTACTACTACTACCACTACTACTACTACCACTACTACTACTACCACTACTACTACTACCACTACTACTACTACCACTACTACTACTACCACTACTACTACTACCACTACTACTACTACCACTACTACTACTACCACTACTACTACTACCACTACTACTACTACCACTACTACTACTACCACTACTACTACTACCACTACTACTACTACCACTACTACTACTACCACTACTACTACTACCACTACTACTACTACCACTACTACTACTACCACTACTACTACTACCACTACTACTACTACTACTATTACCTACAACATACTCGAATTCTTTTTTTTCCGTGTACATGTACCTGGGTGCTCCGAGGGCACGTTCGGCGTACTTCACTTTGATTTTGGTGCCTTCTCCACCGAATTCGATCGACTGCTAATAAAAAACCACGAATAAAACCAAAAACCAAATCAAACCAAATCAAACCAAATCAAATTTTAAAATATATATATATACAAAATAATAATATATGTAATGATAATAAAAAAAAAACTACTGCTACCAAATACTTCAAAAAAATATATAATAATAAAAAAAACCGTACCGAACACTGCCTCGTTTGCTGCATGTGGATCGCCTTAGCAGCCTTAGCCACTGTCGGGGCCCAAGTGGTCCCCCAAAACGCTCACTGTGTCGTCTACACAGACAGCTGCGGACAGGTAGACTCATTATTGTAACCAGTTTTTTACCCAGTCTCGGGTCTGCATTAGAAGCGCCAGACGGTGATTGAACAGGTGAAACGAAATTCGAAATGCATGCGTGGTAATGTGCCTGTGTTACCTCTCACTCTTATGTTTTTTTTCTCTTTTTTTATGTTCCTTTTTAATCTCTTGTTTGTCAATAACGATCCTATCGGTATGATCAGGAGAGCGACGTATTAGTCCTACCTATGGTGTTTTTGTGGTATAGCAAGAAACTAGGAGGCCGCCTACGGCATGGAGTCTTCATTGGATTTCAACGAAACCCACGACGATCTCCTGTCCACGGTCTCCCGACTAAAAGAGATTGTTTAACATTCATGCAGATCGTCTTGGTGCTTTGATGCAAGCCCGAACTTTTAATGCTGCTAACCTTCAAGGTTAACAGGGGGGAGGGAGACGTTCGATCGCTCTGAGGTTTCTTTTTACCATTTATTTACCATTTGGTTTGTTACGTTTTACGTAGGAATTGTTGTTAGCTTGCTTCTTATAATTTTCGGAAAAGAACTGGAACGATCGGACGTGATACCTGAACCTTCGGTAACTTTGGCTAACACGTAGCTTTTGGGGGCATCTCCCTCACGACTGCTCACCGCAACTATAACTGCGAATAACCACTGCCTTATCTGGTGTTTGTCTATTATTATTATTATTATTATTATTATTACGTCGATAAATATTATTATTATTATTATTATCGTTATTATTATTATGCTATTTCGAAAGCGTTGTCGTCACTCCCCCTTAAACAAAGAAAACCTTATTCACGAAGAAAGAGATGCACGCTTCTTATTCAGTAATTAGTACGACTTTGCCATATATGTATATATTATATAGATTATATACATATATATTGTTATTGTTATATTATATACATTATTATTATTATTATTATATCTATCATGCCATTGTCTTGATTACGCTTCTTTCATTAACGTTGAGCGTTAATTGTGGACCTTATTGTCGGGATACGCATTTGAAGAGCATTGGGTGCTTTGAGAATAGTGGTGTTTGAACCGATATTTAAACTAATGTCTCTATCGTTTTTGCACAGAGAGAGACGGAGAGGGTGAAACTGATTATTTTACTTGTCCTTTTTTATGTTGTCCCAAAGTTCATTTCATATCTCTACATAGAACGTTATGTATATATTTTGTTACTTAACTTTGATTTATAATGGATTTACAACGGATAAACGAAGATTATTATATGTAAGAAAAGAAAAGATATTTTGTCCGGCAAAAAAAAATCGAATTTCATACTTTTCATTTATTTGCCATTATTCATCTTTCTCGTAAATAAGTAAAGAAAAATCCAGTCTTTTTTGCCATTTACCATTATACAACTGTTAGTTTGCAAACTATCTCAAATAGCATTTACCTTGAAGCACCCTGTATATTTTTTCTCTTTACCCTAAAACGCTTCAGTACTTCGATCAATTTGTCTCTTCGCCCCTTTTCTATGCATCTATCGTTTTTTTTTTTTTTAATTAATTTTTTAATCGCATTAGAAAAATTTCTCACGGTTATGGACCGTTGTTACGTAATGTCCGAACATGTATTGCATGTATATTAATATTAGTATATAGTCCCTGTATTAGCATCGGTTGCGTGTTGCTTCGAATTTCATCGAGCCACCTCGAAACTCGCGTGTCCATATTACGATATTGGCAGGATATGATTGAATTGATTGCGCAATTGATAAAAGTGGTGATTCTTTATGGAAACACGAGTCGACGATATAAGATAAAATTTTCTTGTAAGAAACGTTGTATCTTGGAGATACGAGACGATGCGATGTTAATATGTTAGCAAAGTACACGGAAAGCAATTGATTTTCTCGAGAAGAAAGATTGGCGCAAGAAAATTTTATTAAGAAAAATGTTCGATCAATTTCGAAGGAATCGCTCCTTTTACAGTTGTACGATAAATATCATCATTTCCTACGTTTCCAACCCTCCTATACGGTTCTTTCAAAACAATCAAGTTGAATTCTATAAAAACGACAATGGCGTGATCCTCTAAATTGAACCGCGCAGAACACGCGTGTTTTAACAAGAGCAGATAAAAAGAAAAAGAGGAAAAAAGTGCCATCGCGATAGTAACAGCTTTTTGAATTTTCAAAACGATTCTCCACGTGACGTGCAACACTTTTTTCCCCGCTCTCTGAACGCTCTCCAGACCATTCTAATTTACCGCTGTCGCCAATCGAAAACACGGAACAATCCTGTCGCTTGCATAGAGAGCTTCTGACGCATTACGTAACCGGGAAAACGATAGGTAAAAAAAGGAAAAAATAAAACAAAATCGGACTACGGGGCCAAGAATCGAAAACGCGTGGCCGCGGGCACAGGTTTCTCGCTGTAGCGTGTCTCCTTTTTCTTCTTCTTTTTTTTTTTTTTTTTTTTAATAAATAAGCAAATATTTGAAGTTATTGTACAATATCCTAAATTTCTTTACTGCGGTAGAATCTTGATACAATACTTCACACCTTCTTACCTTTAATGTGTACCATCTCTGTAGTTCTATGCCGTTTGAACAGAAGTATAATTAAAGTTAAACAATAACTTTTTATATAGTATATAATATTTGAAAAACATATTAATAATTGAAGTTTGATTGTTCATCAATTTACAATGAAGAAATCAAAAATAATTTCAAACGATTTGATATTTTACGCTAACTTTTATATCTGTCTAAACTGTTGTTCACTAACAGGATAATCATTATATATTGTAAAAGTTAAGTGTCCTTTTTTTTTTTTTTTTTTTTTTTTTTTTTTTTTATTTATCAACGCGCAAAACGCAGAGAACACGTTGACAAAGCTTTCTAGCTAGTACATAGAAGAAAAAAGAGAAAGAAAGGAAGAAAGAACGTGAGACGATCCGCAGCGTCGATCGCCATTTTGTTAACATTACTTTTCGCGATCTCTCTCTTCGAGTCGGGTGGACGTTTTTCTCTTTTTTGTTTTTTGTTTTTCGTTTTAATACTCTGTCTCTATTTAACGTTCAATCGTACGTTGTATTCTCTATGATTGAACCTACACTTTTATTCGTGAGCGTAATTAGCTCTTATTGTTATGGTTGCGGAGTCGCAGTTGATCTAGCGTTGAACTTATTTGCAGTAGAATATTATTAATTTGACAGCTTTTACGACATCCCATCTCCACATTTTTTATACGAATGCCAATAACCGCTGACTTTTGTCCAGCCACCAACGGGCGGTTTGGTTCGCTGGCGTGGATGATATTCTCGTCCACCGATGGATATCTTACCACCTTTCTTTGTCTCTTCCCTGTGTCTATCTATTCTATATATTCTCTATCTATATTTACTTTTTATTTCTCGTAGCTTTAGTAGTGAGTGGATGTGTGTGTCTATAAATCTCGTAATTCACGCACGCGAACCAAAAACCCTTTCGGCGGTCCTCTCAAGTCGGCTTTTGGCAGCACACGAATTGCTTGGGTGATGAGGAGGGGCTCCGTTGTCTCTGCGCGATCCCCCTCCCCTCGAACGAATCGATCGATCGGTCGTACCAACAAAATTCGTTTCATTTGTTTCACTCGCAAATTTTTACTACCTAAGGTAGTTTACTTCCTTCCGAAGAGATGTTAGACAGTACGAAATATAATTAGGTACATCGCGCTATCATCCTTTTGCAAGTACGTACAACGAGTATATCCGAGTTAAGATCATCGCGATCCACATATCGTATTATTGATTAGATTTTCCTTAATCGTATTTAGAGGGAGGGGGTTTACTTCCTTCCTTTTTCTCGTGTTTATTCGTTTTTTTCGGGAAAATTCACTGCTAGAATTCTGTCTGTTCGATCGAGAGATAACACGCGAAAGGGACACGATCTTCGTGAAAGAAAAAGAAAGATAACGTGGAAAATCGCGACTCTAATAGATCACCCAAGCAGAATGAACCAACCCCCCTTCTCCCGGGCCATTATTTGCATGACCAGACTCTGTGTTTGTAGCAAATTATCTCTACGCAGTTGCAAAAGTTATTACATAGTTATTATTCTTACTCTTGTTATCGTTATTCTTCTGATTATTACGATTGACGATTAGTCTCGTTACTCTATATCTGTACCATTATTCGTTGTTACCATCTTATTATGTCTTGTTTCTCGCGCAAAGGTTCTTCATTATCCATAATTTTCCATTTTTCTTTCTTTTTTTTTTTATTGTATTCTCTGTAGCAATTTCCAATTGGTTGTCAATTTCCAATTGCATAACACGCGAGAAAAATTCGATCGATGATCGCTTCGTGACGAGAGAAGAGTACGTAATTTAATTCCAGTCGTCGCTTTTCTTATTTTTTCTTTTTCTTTTTTTTTTTGTCAGTACAAGTTCAGCATTTGTTTATCTTAATCTTTTTCGTTACAAGTATATTTTGCACGCTTTTATGGTGAGCCTATGGTACTATTACTTTCGCTCGCGACAATTATCATTACGATCCATTATTTAAACGATTGATTTCGTTGTTTTTATTCTCATTGTTCCCCCTCTGTTTTTATTTTTCTCTTTTCTTCGTTTTGTTTGTTTTTAATTATCTCTCATTTTTTATTTCATATACATAATACTCTGTCTCTGGTAGGTTGTTAACTGCTTCTGACCTAACGTTTTTTGCTAACACCAATACCAGTTCTCTGGAATTTGATGTTTAATCTATTTTTCTTTTTTTTTTTTTTGCTGCATTTGTCTATATTCATATATATATATTCTCTCGGGCATATATATATATATATGTGTGTATACGTATATATATACATATATATATATATATATATGTACATCGATAATCTTTCCCTAGATACGAGTGTACGTGTGTGTTTCTATGTGTGTGTGTGTACATATAATATGCATAACATCTTTCGCTCGGGGGTAATCAAAGGAACGGATAGTAACGTAGTTGGGTAGAAATGTCTCGCTTCACCTGAGCCTTTTTATTTTTTATTTTCATCGTTCGAGAATTCCTTCGTTTATTGACTCTATTTTTCTTTTTGTTTTCTTTTTTTTTTTCTTGTAATTCACATTCTTCGTTTTGATAATCTGGAACTGGCATTTTTTCGTGTCTTTTTCTCTTACCAATTTTTTAATTTTTTTGTCTTGGTATTTGAGAAATAGTTTCTCAAAGTTTGTCGTTCTCGTTCAAATTTCTGCGAAACTCGTGAAACTGAAGAAATCGTAAAAACGTATTTCGACTAATCGGAGCTTGCACGAAGGAAAGAAAAAGTAGTGAAGGATATATTCTCGTGTGTTGTTCAACCACGCTCATATTATATATATACATGCACACCAATTTACGTATTACGATTGTTGTTCTTTCATCTTGCTGCAGCCAGGTTTTTGCGTTTTAAAGTCACTGTTTAGCACCCTCGGTTCCCAGTCAAAGAATCGAAAAATGAAAGGGAACAGCTTAGACGAGCGATGCTCGTTGCCTTCCTGTATTCCATACACAGATTTTGTTAACACTAATACTTCAGTCTAGTCATTGTGCTGAATGGCCCGCTGAGAAGAGGGCTTCCACACCTGATTCGCAAATTGATCGACTCTTTCTTACGTAAAGAACGAATACCGATATATTACATTTTCAACTTAATTTCGTTTACTCAATTTTATTTCATTTTCACCACGTAAAGTAACTGAAAATCGACTTTCAGCAAGATACAGTTTTTTCTAGCGCAATAATTCCTACGTCGAATGTCTCGTGATGAAAATTTGCGAATCAAACGATCCTCGTTTATAGGCACGCTCCTTGCACACAAAGTGTTGGGAATGTTGAGAAAAAAGAGAAAATCGAATAGAGAAAAGATGGCAAAAAACAGATAGATAAAATTGTTACATATATGTCACAGACTCACGGGTGAAAAACAGTTCGCATAGAAAAGTGAAACGAGTCCTTTGTTCTCGCCCATTCGAATCACACCAATTCTTTCAATGAACGTGTATCGTGTCGTGTCTTGTCGTGTCGTGTCGTGTCGTGTCGTAAGAACGATCACGGTAGTAGCAAGCTAATGATCGACTTGCTTCACGTCGATGCCGAATGAAAAAGTAAAGAAGTAATCAGTCTCATAGAGTACAATGTCTCGACTCACGATACAGAAAGTAGGGAATGACCAGTTTGAAAAAGAAAAGTTCTACTGCAAATTTTCTTCTTAATTCGATCTGCACGAACAATCGACCTCCGCGAATAACTATTTTTCAAATCAGACGAACCAGAAGAAAAGAGTCGTTCAAATCGTACAAGATCTATCACGCTCGGTCGATTATTCGTGTGCCAGTAGCAATTAATTAATATTCATATACGATCCGATTTTTTAGAGCATGTAATGTACCGTGAATATGCTCTAACACTGAAATGAGTTTGAATGTGTGTGTTCAATGATTTTCAAAGAACATGTGTGCGTGTGGGTGTCTCTGTGAGAGAGAGACAAGACACTTGTCTTCGCTCTGTTTGTGGAAACGCGCGAATGGCGTCTGCTTGTGAAGAACGACTGATGCGAGACACTGTTGAAAGTTGTTTTTTTTTCCCTCCTTTTCCTTGTAACTATTGTTCGCGTGAATCTCGAAACTATCCGTTTTATAAAAATACCTGGCACATTTTCTTTCAGTTACTGGACACCCTCCCGGTGTGCCAAGATTTTAATCGACAAGTGTGCAACCGTCCCGCCTGCAAGTTTATCCATCTCAGTGACGGTGAGTTTCCGGCGCCATTTGCCACAGTTCCTCTCGGCAACTTGCGGCGATTTCGTTGAACATCGAAGCTTATCGTTCCTTTGCCTTTTTTTTTTTTCTTTTTTCTAACAGTTCCTTCGTTTCTCTTCTCGTTCTTATTCCGTTGCGCGTTTATTCCGTTGAACGATTAATTGAATTTTCTTTCAGCGACACAAGATGGTGAGTACAATGCCATAGGTTGTTATTCCGCGTTGTCAGCGAGATTAAAAGACTTTGGCTGAAATATAATTTTTTTGTTCAAATATGAGCTTAAAGTATTTGAAGATTCAGTGGCAGGAGGTAAAAAGAATCGACTAATTGGATTTTTCAATTAAAATATTACTTTAAAACCGATTCGATGTAAAGAGAATGTACAAATTTCTCAAATTATGTATATTCCAGCACGATGTATTTGTGCCGGCCTAGATATCGTATCGAATGGCCGGCCAAACAGCATTTGTATTTTGCAGCCATTTTGCAGTTGACGACCGCGCATTCGCCACAAAACAATCATGCTCGTAATGTGCGACGGATGACAAATCTATTGGTCACCGCTGTTTCCAACTGCACGTAACTTCGTCAAAGTCACGAATTACTAGACTAGCTAGCCGCGACTAATAAAAATGATAGTTTACTGCTAAACCGTTCGTGAATAGTCTGTAAATTCAAGGAATGACCGGAGAAAATTAGAAAAATCTAAGAATTTCAGAAAGAAAGAAACAATCGTAATGTTTATCGTATAATCATAATACCATCTTATTAGATATACATACATATCCATTTTATAAATATTATAAATATTACATATATAATTATAATTAACGTAGTATAATACCTTGGCATCATGGAGAAAGAAATTAGAAGCGAAAGCGAAGGTTTGCAGATATCCTTAGCTAATCATAAAGCGTCGTTATACGAAGATCATCGACACATTAAAATTCACCAAAAATTGTTATCGATTTTTCCATATGTCTAATGGATGACCGTTTGAACATTTCCAGGAAACGTGGAGGTGATCGAGAATCGCGTGACCGTGTGCAGGGACGCAGTGAAGGGCGCGTGCATGCGGCCCCAGTGTAAATATTATCACATACCGGTCGCGTTGCCGCCAGCACCTCTCATGGCGATCACATCGCCTGCGACGCCCTAGTTACTCCTTCTCGTTTAGCGGATATATGTAATTCACGACGAGGCGAGCAAGAAGGAACCGACAGACAAGAGTGATACAGTAGCAGAAGCTAGAGAGCGGAAAAAAGGGACTTGACAAAGAAAAAAAGGGACAAAAAAAAGAACAAAAAGAAAACTACAAAAAAAAAAACAAGTAACGAACAAAGACGAGAACGAGAAAGAGGCACTACCAGAAAACGAACAAACACAAGAGCTTGTCAAGCGCAGGTTTTGCCGGATCACGATCATCCTGATCGTTGAACAAGATCGACGAGAACAAAAAGAAAAAGAGAGACGTATCAAGGGGAATGTGTGTTTCAATGTTTTCGTCCTCATCGTTCTCTTCGTCGTCGTCGTCGTCGTCGTCATCGTCGTCGTCGCCGTTGTCGTCGTCGTCGTTGTCAGCGACATCGAAAGAACCGAGTTTCGATTCTATTTCATCCTCCTCTGCGAATCTCCTCCAATGCGTAGGTTTTCGTCGAGCCAGATAGAGATCAGGAGAAAAGGCTAGCGTATCAAACGCGAATCAAAGAGGAAAGGTCGGACAGAGGAATGAAATCGTCGTTCGTCGTTTCACAAGTTGAAAAAGGAACTGTACGAATTCGTTTCTCTTCCCGGCCATTCTCTTTCTCATGTCGTCCCTTGAAGATGAAAAAGAAGAAACGCACGAAATTAAATTCGTTCGTAGAAACAATTCCCTCGTCAAAGCAATTCTGCGAGCTTCACTCCCAATGGATGGAAATTTGCTATCGATTTCTAGCAGACCATTCGTAGATTATTTGCGCGTTTAGTCGCCACGAAGCGTAATTTACTGTTCGAGAGTCGAGGTTAGCCGATTATCTCGCGAGAACGAAAATTTCTCCATGCTGAGACGATAAAAGCGTTTCGTTCGTGCGAATTGGTCAGAAAAAGAGGATACGGTATTTCTGACTGAAGCAGACATATCGAGTGGTCGTTGAAATTGAAAATCAGCCAAGTCGCGTCGCGTCAGCGAGAGAAACGTCCTCGAGAGGATGCTCGAAACACGTCACGATCGAGTGCCAGTACACGAGGTCTTCCTTAACCTTGCCTTCTTTCCTTCTTCGTTCACTCAGACTTCCATGAAAGAGAGTCGCAAACCTGTCTAGTCTAGCTCGCTAAGAGAGCAAGTGGATTTTGACAATTTCTGCTTTTTAAACGTTTTTATTCGTTTGAAATTTACGTATCGCACGAGTTAACCGATCTTGCTTTCTAAACTTTGATTATTCCATATGCCATTCGTTTCTAAGCGACTGTTATCGAATTTCCGATACTTAATTTACAATAGAATTGCCGAAGGTAGCGAGATAACGAAGATTTAAGTCTTCGTATTTCTACCTAGTATCTCACCGTCAAATTGTTCAAACCAAATCTCCGTTTTCCCTGAAAACTCGTTATATCTTTTAAATCGTATTCTCCATTTGTCGATTTCTTAACTACATCCACTTGGAAGTATCTTTTAATTTCAAAATACCTTGCAACTGGTTTTCAAAAGCACACATTTCCTTTGAAAACTTCCATTTGCCTCGAGTGTCTTGTTGGATTCGAGATTTCTATGTTCTTCCACGCGATTGCTGATCGAAAACGGGTAAAAGAAACGAAACGACGTAGCTGGCAGTTCATCGCGAGACACATTTTCTAGACAGAAAGGCGAATATTCGCGAGAGTAAAACGAGGGAATACGCTGATAGAGCGTTGATGTTCCGTAAAGATCTTGGTACTACTATGTGTACGTATATTATACACGTACTATGCATACAGAGGGAAACGTGGTTAGGAGTTATACGATCTCCCGGGAACAGAGAATTCCGAGTTGTAGGATCGTAAAATTTCTCCACGTTCGTAGCAATCGAACGAATTCATATCGTACGAGTAGGCTGGCTCAGACCGATGGGAATACTTGATAGAATTATTTAATCCTTTTGATGTTGGTTCGGCTATTTTATCGTATTTCAGTGAATCGGTAAGAACGCTGGGAGAAGTTGATTAATGATTTCGACAACGGGCGAAACGTTAACGCAATTTCTGTTTAAACGTTATTGTGATATTTTATGAATACTTCATAGAATATTTTATATAGTGCGTAGCATGGATAAATATATCTAGATAAGTTATTCAAATGAGATAGTTTAAAGATAATTTACATCGTAAGAAAGTCATATTGTACATAATATGATACCATTAATGTTGTTATCCTAATGTTGATTTCGACTCGCTGGAAAATAATTTCTCTGCGTTCTTTCGTCGAATTGGTTTACAAGTTCGAGCAAAGTTAAATAAATTACCATCATCACGAGGGTTAAAGATGTACATTGGTCGGCCATAAATCCAGCAACGGCAATCACTGAATCTAACAAACTTCAAGGGACGTATGCGCAGTCAGAGAAGAGAACTGACCCCGATATATCGAATAACGAAGTTTTTTATACTCGTATATACACTAAACTAAATCCACTGATATTTTGTTTCTACGTCGATATAATTGCGCGTATGCACGCACGTTTCAGCTGATCGATCGAATGTACGTGCACACGCGCCAGGCGGCATTGACTTCGCAAGAAATTTTACGGCAAACTAAAGAAAATATAGAAATGGAAATCGAAGGAAGGAAATAATAAAAGCAGAATTACAATCGTAGATTAAACGACGAAACGAATATATACACGTATATTACGCGTATTATATATAAATATACACATATATATTACATATATTATATATACATATATGTGTGTATATTGTGTGTATATATATATATATACACACACGTAAAGAAAACAAAAATGAATGTATCCTTCCGAGGAAGGTACGAAGCCTTATGACGTGGTTTCCGGCGAGTCTCAAAGTTTCCGCAACATTTTTCATTCACTTTTTCCCTCTTCTTTTTTTTCATATTTGTCTCCATTTCGCGAAGGGAAACACCGATGATCGACATACTCTTAGGCGAGTGAACGCTATTTAAATATTAACATTACGACGAATGTACGTGATAAATATATGTATATATATATGTATATATATATACATATACATATACATACCCACACACATACCCACATATATACATATATACATATTATACAAGAAATTATATTTAATTAAACAGTAATGGAGAAATGATAGATAGAAAGGAAGATAGTACAGAAAAAAGATTTAGCACGGACAATGGTTAAAAGACCACACACGAGAAATAAAAATATTGTTTTTTATATCTATCGCTGTACGCAAGACGAATTCGACGTGAAATAGCTTTTCGGTTCCTACGTTTCTTTCAAACACGTTGCGTTTCCAATGATATTTTTCGATAAAGTATAGATTCACGTGCGCTATCAGCGAACCATTAATCGCGAATAGAAACTAAATTGCGAATATACGTGCAAATTCATATTTTTATGCATAGAACTAAACAAACGGAATGTAAACAGAAATTTGTTTCAAATTTGAAGTAGTATAACGAGTATTTCGTAGATACTTTCTATATTTTTGCATAGGGCGGATGTTCCTACAACTGCCATGTCTTTTGCAAAAGAGAAATAGCTTTATGCCCTAAGCGTAAAAAATTGATTATAATCTGCGAAGGATTTCAATGTTCGTATGACTGTCAGCCAATAATTGTCAGTCCCAATGACTGTGATCAGATGACTGCCGGACTTTTTTATTGACTGTCTTACTCTGTAATTACTTTCTGCTTGCGTAGTGGCGTTCTTAATGCTAAAACTATACTATGATTTTTAAACATTGATTTTTAAATACTAGATACAAACAACATCCGTGCTGTCCCTTTGTCTTCGTGTAAATCTAACTTGCTGATAAAACCCTTTCTTTGATACGTTTTACTATCCTATTAAGTAGAATGTCATGGCAGTTGTAGAGACGCTGACAGTTATAGGAAGATGCATTCTGCGCGTTTTTCTATATTTAAATTTTCCATAAATGCATAAGTATTCATAGCCTAACGACTAAAAGGACGATCGATCGATCGATCGATTTAAGTTTTTCCCGGTGTCGCGCGAAGGACCCACCGTCGACAACGAAGTTTTTCGTCGTCCGTACATACCTTTGCACATTTTGTCTTTCGCTCCTTCACCCCGTCTCTGTTTCACGATATTAGCTATACAATTAATATTCGTTTTTATTTTTTATATATCGCGTAGGAACGTTGACCGATATATCTACCGTACTAGTATTTAATTCCTTAATTCTGTCCGTACGCCTATTCCTCTTCTTCACATTTATTTCAACCTTTATTTTACTACACGTTTATTTCTTTTAATGATTTCCTTCTATCCATTTTTCGTTCGTTTAGCGTAGCAATCGGAATAAAGGTAACAATGTAGTGCAATCGTCGTGCATACAACGTAAGAGTATTATATCGCGATTGCGTATAGTTCTTTCTATCGGCAACTAGCTTACAAAAAAAAGAAAAAAGAAAAAAACAGAAAAAGGCAGTGAGAAAGTATAGAGAAACTATTTCGCGATGTGAATGAAGTATTTATTCCGTCTATCGTTAGTTTCAATTGACGAGTTTTTTTATTCTTTGAGAGACTTTTTTTAATCGCGTTACTTTGATTTTTTCCATGTTTAGTCGATGTCTGTTATCATTAGGATTAACTATTATTATTATTATTATTATTATTATTATTATTATTATTATTATTATTATTATTATTATCATCATCATCATTACTATTATTATCTAACTATTACTATTATTATTATTATCATTATTTTTGTTATTAACTCTCTATAGTATTCTCGGTGCCACTTTGTTTATTTAAAATTTTCCAATGTTCGAACAAGATATTGGCTCGTACCCAAACGAATCGAAAGGTGCTACGGAGAGTTAATATTATTACTACTATGATTATTTCTCTTGTTATCTGTTTCTTAAGTTCGGTTACATATAGAGTGAAACAAAATAAAAGAACATGACCGTCCAGGAAAGACTTTCACCCACTTTCCCGACCAAGTGGCTCAAAGAGCGAGCCGGTTCGTCGATCTCTCGGATTTAAGATTGCAAACGAGAAGACACGTTGCTGCGCTAGTCATTATTCGCGATGGGCCGGGGTCCTTTGCGCGCTCTTTTCAATTCTCGATAGAGATGCTGTTATCAGTAACATTATCGATTATATCGTTGGTTTATCGATAAGTCAAATCGAACTAAACGCGCGAGATGTACGGTTGCACGTAAAGCGGCTTGGAACGAAACGTATTTTCTGCCCGAAGATTCGTTTCGTAAAGAGTGAGATGGATCTGCAAATTTGAAAATTTTTATTTTCAATTATCTACGGTATTTTAAATTATCTACGTTTTCGTACCTTTAAATTCGCGATAAACGCGCGGTCTAGCGATCAATTCGTTGAGCGTTGTACAGTCTTTGCAGTCGCATCTGTTCACCGGATATCGTATCATCGTTGTATACGTTCATCGAATATTTTATCGATAATATAGCGATAATCGCGGCATCTCTACCCGCATCTCTACTTCTCCGTACACGCAAATACATACAGAGATACAGACACTCATCCACAGAGCGAGACAGTCGCGTCGTTTGTTTTTTCTAAGACGATTTCGAAACAAACTGTTTTTCTTTTAATTGTTAATATTTTCTATTTTTTTATTAAGATCGATTTGTTAACTACGATAACTCGAGAAACGGGACATTAGCGTTAATTATTTAAACGGACATAAGTATAACAAAGTACTCTAATTGACAGGATATAAGCGTATTATAATAAATATAGGTTATTAAAACTATTATTGAATACAAAAGAGCGAAAAAAGGAAAAAAATATGGAAAGTGCGATCTAAACGATTAAGCAAGTATAAATGTTCCTGTACAGCATTTAAGAATCAAAGAACACGTATATACATATATACAAGAGA